GTATTTGATAGGAATGACTGATATAAATAATTTATATAAATAATTGACATAAATAATCCTTTTATTTTTCCAAAAACAAGATATAATTAAAAATGGAAATATTTGGGCTGTTGTGCTGTTGTTTTGGTGAGTTGTTTGTTGTTTCATTTCTTCTTAAAGTCAGGTACAAGAAAGATATTACAACTATTTCCAGCACTTCAGGGGTTGGATTTAGTCCAAATTTATGAAAGATGCAGACCATCATCTTAGCCAAAACACTGCCTAATTTTGTCTTTTTGCTAAAATGACGCCACCTAGAAGATTCAAAGCTTTCTTCTTTGTTTCTGCCTTAAAAAACATAATTACACCCTAATTTAAAACTCTAATTGAGTGCACTTGTATTTGTGAGATGTTCTTTTTCCCTTTAGGGACAATATTCCTATTAGTCACACAAGCTGTCTAATCATTTCATGGTCTGTCCATTTCCCCACCCTACACCTCCATTATAAATGAAAAAATTAAAGCGTTTTTTTTTTTTTTAAGAGTATCTCAATTATATCCTCATAAATTCAGCAACTGAACATTTCAGTTGAAATAGTAAGCCATATCTTTAGTCAGTGTAAGTTATCATTACTCTGCTGATTTCAATGAAGAAAAGATAACTTGCATCAGCTGAGACTCTGACCCATGAAGACAAACTCACTGAAAAAATCTAAAAGTAAATTATTTTTTCAAGCTTAAGAACTTGTGTCCTGCTATACATGAACACCAGCTGCATTATTATCTTAAAGTTATTAATATTAAAAGTCTTTTTTACATTAAGAACGATTGATGAAGTTGCAGAAAATAGCACTTCACTAAGTACTATGATTACATCTTTCCGATCAAGAAGAGAATAATTTTTAAAGACATTGCCTTTCCTTTGTGATGCTCTTTGAACTTTGATTTTGCAATCAGATCAAGGTGAACACTTGACAGTCATTCTTTGCCCATAAACTCCTCTTTGCTATATTTTAGCTTAGATTTATAGATCTCCCATTTAACCAACTGGTAATAGTGGGATTCTATGAAAATATGTCTTTGCAATCAGATCTTCTTCCAGGTGCTTTGAGATGGCCATTTCCACTTTGAGTCACAGGAGCATTTTAATGATGGGTTTTTAGGAAACTACATTGTTTATCTTCCACCAAATCACCCATAATTCTGGTAAGGCTTGGGGAAAACAAGTATGTGAATATTCAACTGATTTACTAAAGCCTAAGAATTACCTCTGCCTTCTACAGCCATTGCATAGTCTTTGTAAAACAAAAGACATTTTAGCATCTAAGGATTAGCTTTTATTATTTTCCATGCTATGCCTTCAGGCCTTCATTCATAAACATTATCTTTGTTCTAGGTTTAAAACTTGTAAGAGAAACAAACATAATTGCATATCATGTATGGAAAATTTGGAGTTTAACCACTAATCTGTGGCTTGCAGTGAATTTGGATGGAAGGAATTCAAGGCTCTGAAGTGTCATGCTTGTCTGCATTGATTACAAGAGTTCTACTTCTTCTCAATGAAAATCATAATTTGCTTAAATAAAAGGCAAAGGAGTCAATCTTAAAAGTTTTTGAAATCTATATCTTTCTTTTGCTAAAATTTATCTATACCTACTTAAAGAAAAAATTAGCAATTAAAGATTTGTTGAAATTTATTGCTGATAAACATTCATTTCTCAGTGTTTTCTGTGCTGGATGAATTTTTAAAAAAAGGTGCAGATCACTGTAACTTCTATTAATCCTGCTTTCATTGGTTTTTAGGTATAGAAACAAAAGATAAACAGAAATACACTTTAATGTAGAGGATCACGTTACATTGGTAAACATGTCCATAACTCAGGTAACATCAGACTTCTTGCACAGTTTCCACTAGCTGAAGATCTAGTTCAGGAAATGTCACATTTCCAGTGCCAGTAATCATTATCCCTCTTTCTGCTCTGTCAGATTTGGAAATATTTGGTCTTATCTTAAACAAACACATCTGGTGGTGAATCTGAAAAGATGGCTTATTTCAGACCCTGAACTTCCCTTCCCCACATACATGGACCCTGAGGATGTTTAATACAATTAAGGAAAAACTCCAAGGCTGGAAGAAAGGCTCAAAATGAATATTATTTTAGAACTCTAGCCCAAGGCTGCAGTATTTAATTGAATTTGTTGAATTTCAGCTAAGTAGGCAACTACCTTTCTGACCTGAGGGAGGCCTGTATGTATTAATAACAGCACTGTTATTAGAAAAAGCACTAAAAATGCACTGGAGACACCACAGTAACTTTTATATCTGTAGATGAAGAAACACCTCTGATCTCTGTGATGGGTCACTTTCAGCTCAGTGTTGTGACCTCACAGTTCTTCTGCAATAAATTAATGGTCACAGTGTGTACTCTGTGCCAGTCATCACCACACCCACAGTACAGGGGCTGCTTGTCATCTGACTGTGCTTAATTAACAATACAGAATCCTAACTCTACATCCAGCTCTGGTTGCCTGAGTTCATGAGGAATTATTTGCTTTTTAGTTGTTATCCTGCTGTGCTAGTGACTGCTTGGCTCTCACATTAGAAGAACAGGCTAAAGCACATTGCGTGTTTGTAGTGTGCCCCATGCACAAACTTAGCAGAATGGTTAGTAATTAAAAATGTTGAAATGCCACCAATTAAATATCATTTGGGCATCCACTGGCTCCATAAGAGCCATTTAGAGGAACAGTTTAATTTTCATGTGTGAACACACTCTTCTCAGAATTCCCTTGAAATCCACAGGAAGTATTTTTTAGATTAAGTTTGATAGAGGATGAAATACCAGATGAGCTTGTGTCAGAAGCAGCACTGCATAGGGAATTTATAGGGAAAAGATGACATGTCCTAATACTCTGGAATATTGTAATTTTTTCCTGTAGTTATCCACAGAAAATAAAGTTCAGTTAACTGCTACAACCAGTAAGAGCACAAAAGATGAAGTCGGGGTCTCCTTTTAAATATAGCTTGAAAACTTGCAGGTACTCTCTCCCTATCAGTCCCCAAAAAACTCTTTCCAAAAAAAAATACAGTGCAAATGCAGTGCCTCTAAAAACTATTGTAAAAAACACCCAAAGAGCTCCCCACCAAAATTCTGAATTGACAGTAAAAGAAAACAACAAAGAACAGTGGAAAAGTGGACACTTGTGTGCTTATATCTCAAGCAGATCAAACTGGCTCACTCAGTGTTGGACTCTCAGCCATATCTGTCTCTGCAGGGTTTTTTGAGTTGCAGAGGAGCAAAGCTCCCAGCTGAAAGTGAAAGCCATGGCACCAACACCCACAGTGCAGCCAGCCCAGACAGCAGCACACGCAGGGGGTCTCAACTGCACTGCTTCTACTACTGAAAATCAGAATCCTTAATAATATCTATATATGGCTTCCCAGGCACACTTATTATCAAGAGCTTATACTTTCCAATGTTTCCTTGGATACAACAATGAAAACTTGGCTTGGATTCCCTGAGGAGGAAGGTGTAGGTGAGAATAATTTGGAAACATAAGGAGCAGCATTAAGAGGGGTTTTGACACAGCCTGTTCCTATGTTGTTCCTGTGACATTAGCAACCCTTTAAAATAACCAAAAATAGATTTTCAGGCTTGAGCTCCTGGCAAAGAGGTGGCAGTCCTGTCATTTTTTCAGACTGAACTGGAATTCCTAAGGCAAATAAAGTTCCTGTAAGCCTGGTAATGGCAGAGGCAGAGCATGGAGGGGCACTGCTCCCCCCATGCCAGCTTCAACAGACACATCACAAATCATGTGGCACTGGGGCTGAGTTTTTCTGGCATCACCTCTCTCCGCACTTAGGCAGCTCTCAGATGGATTCAATGCACCTGGTTAACATCTATTTATCACTGTTGTGATGGTACAGAAACACACTATCCAGTTTGGCAGTGGCATCCTTGCTCACCACACAATATTTCTTAAAGCCTTAAAGTCTGTCAAAGGACCTATCTTAAACTGTTATAGATTTGCCACAGAATGCAGTTAAATGTATACCATGTATTTCTTCTGCAAACCAGACTGATTTCATACAGCAAAATACAACTTTTCATTCCTTTAAAATACACAAGATTTCATAGGCAGAGATAATACAGCTGAGATCCTTTATGCTGTATGTGCAAAGCTGCATTCCTGCATATCTGAAACAAGACTCAGCTTTAAGTTCTGTGCTTTATAATATCAGAATATTGTAATAGTAATGAAAAATAGCAAAACTGTGGTGTTGCCTTCATCATGTAACTTCTGTGTGTAGAAACTGAATCAAAGAATAAGGGATTATTGTGTCAAGCAGATACGAATTTCCACCCCACAGGTGTGACATTTAGTGGAAGTACTGGCAGTGTGACTGTGTCTGCTCAATCCACTGTACTGTGAGGGCATTCAAATGATGGGCAAAAGGAATGGCTGTGCAAAAATTGGGAAAGAGGGTGGCTTCTGCCACAACCCACTCCATACTACTTTTGTTTATCCTGCAAAGGGCAACCACTGTTTTGAACAATATCATTAATGCAAAGTGAGAGACACACACTGCAGTTTTGGTGTGGTTTTGGTGGTGGTTATTGTTGTTATTATTAATGATCCAGTCAAACTTATTAGACAATTATTAGTGAGGCTAAATTTTAATATTTTAGAGCAACATTTGGCCAGTTTCCAATGTTATTCTTTTGACTGGTTTTTCCTCTTGATGTCCAGGTAAATCCCACCGTGGCTTTACCGTCCTTCAGTTGGCCTGGGACAGGAAATGGGGGCAAGGGACACACACTGTAACACACACAGCACTTTCCAGATGGATTTGGGCCAGAATGATTCACAGCTTTGTTTAAGTTGCTTTGGAGATTCAAAGCACATTCATAAACATGCAGCAGTCATTCATCTCCTATCTAACAACAAATAAGTAAACATATAACTATGAAGGCAGGATTTGGATATCAATCCTGAAAGTATTGTGAATTGTTTTTTACCTTATTTAGCCAGTCCTCTCTGCATGAAGTTTCTTTATAAATATTTCTCCTGCAAAAATGAAGGACCAGCAGTTAGTCACAACTATTCACGTTTTTATTAGCTTTAGAGTTTTGACTGATGCTTACAGATTTGTGTATATCATTCTCCCCTGCATCTGCACAGAAATATTTCCTGTGATTCATCAGTGTAGAGCAATCTGCCTCCTAAGATAATTGAAATTACTAACTCAGTGTTTCTGATTCAGTTGATATGCTATTTTTGTTTTGTTTATTGATATTTTCATACCTTTTGAAATAAAGACAGGCTAATAAAGTTATTATTTTTTTTGAGATAATTGGTAGCTTGCTGGGATTTTTTTCTTAATTTGTTTGCCAGAGCAATATTTCCTGTAAAGATCTAATTCAGCAGTTTGATTTCTTCCCTCGATCTCAGGCTAGTATACACTGCTGCCAGAACAGCATGACTGGGATTACTAATTCAAAATTTTCCTTTTCCAGCATCAACCTAAGCAGGCAATCTAGGTTCTGTAGAACAGCCATATTTCTGAGCTGCTTGATACACGAATGTATTTTCATTTAGTTCATACTCATGCAAAACATTGAGCCCACGTGCAAGGCCACCTAGTAAAAAACTCTATGAATTTAAATAAGGCTAGAGAATAAGGTTTCTGAGAAGGAGGGTTTAATAACTGTTCTTTCTGTGAGCGAGTACTTTTTAAGCAAAGACACTTTCTGTTGTAAAAATGCTTTTAAATTTTTTAGGAACTTGGAAATAAATTCTGAAGCTCGAGCTAGTTGAGCTAGTTGTTAACCACTCTTCAGTTTAGAGGGATTTTGACAAAGATGGCAGTGGTCAAAATTTGGACCTGATCTCTTTCATCATAAAAAATATCTTGCTTGATACAGCACATCATTAATTTATCTCTTTTACCTCTCCTTGATGGCAAGAAATTACAAACTTTATTTTACTTGTGCTAATGAAAACAAAAAGTAGTAGTGTAAAATTGTCAGCAGCTTTCAATCTGCTAGTGAGAAATAACAATCTCATTATTATCAATATTTCAAATTAAATTTTCCATTTGTGGCTTAAGAAATAAAATAACTACAAAGCTATAAACCCAGGTATAACAGTGCTCTTCTTAGAATGATTCCAAACAATCTTCTAATCTCTATTTATGTATTCACATCTCAGGTATAAAGTACACAAATTACTGACTTTTTTCTCCTGCATGAGTAGACTTTGTTGCATTATGCTAAAGGAATTCCATGAAAACTACAAGAGAGTAATAAAACTACCATTAAGCATTGACAGCCCTGAGATATCTGAATACCTTTACAGATTATCAATATGTAATGTGACTGAGAGGCGAAGCAGCACAGGATGGGAAAATTGCACTGTGAGGAAAAGAGATTGTTTAAACATCAAACAAACCTAGCAGATTTATCACATCTAAATTCCCTAGTGAGAAATAAGGGAATGTCTTCTGTAAATGCAACAAGGGCATAAAATTTCTTTTTTGGGTTTTACTCTTGTGTTTTTCACTAAATTATCTTTCGCCTTTAATATAAAATTAAAACACAAAATGAGAAAATTTGCATTGAAAAACCATATAAATACATACTCCTGGTTTATAAGACAAGCTCTCCTTCTTTATAAATATTTTGGTAATTTCTCATAACTTTCTTGAGACCTATACAAGTACCAGCCAAAATTAATAAAACCAAACTTGAATATCATCTTACTAGGGTTGAATATGAGAATATATAAAATATCTTCTTAGACAGTTATTAATATGTCCTTTATATCAGAACTCTGCATATCTTGTTTCTTTTCATTTGAGCTTAGGAATTTGGGGCTAGGTTTCTAGAGCTACCTGGGTACCTCACTGGGCACATAAATCGCATTAGATCACAGTGAATCCAAACACTGCACATGGTTCTTGTTTTCTGAGCTTCCTTTTTCTTGTCTGGACAGAACTGGATGTGTTAATAGATTTCTAATGACTGCAACTCCTAATACTAGGCAGGCTGCTTGTTTAAGAACATAAACTACCAACACTGAGTAAATTTCCTCATTTCATAAACAATCTGGAATCACTCATTTGTATTTTTGTTTTATACAAGAATTCACAGTGCCCTGATTCAGTGATGCCTCCATATTCCTGCACTTTCCTCTTTTAACTCAAGCATCAGTTACAGTCCAAAAAAAAAAATCTATAAGAAAAAATCACAGATGTATTAAATGGAATTCTTCTGCGACTGTTCCTATCTCCTTACTCTGACAGCCTCACCAAAACCCGTTGAAATACACACAGACACTTCCTTTTAGCCACACCCACCCTTCTCCCCAGGGAGAATGGGCTGTGGATAATCACCAAGATTACATTTTGGTTCACAATGTGATTATTTTCAACTGGCAGAGTCCCTCCCAGTCAGTATTGCCATCAAGTTGCTACTCAGCTGAAACCTCTGGTTCAGATTTTAACCATTGCAAACTGATGAAATCACATTAATGTGCAAATTTAAACCTGCTTAGAATTTATTTTTGGGACTACTGTGAGGAAGAATACCATCAGGTCTGAAGTCCAAGGTATGGTAATGGAAATAGTGTGAGTGCTTTATGTTTTTATAAATAACTCAAGTTAGAATTGTGTTGTTTTATAGCAAACACATTTACAAACATCTATGGAGTAGTGGTGTTGTTTTCCTTGTTTATGTTTTTTTACTTTTTAGCCATATCTAGTAATCACAAACACAAACATTACATGCCTGAGAAATTTTTATAATATAGCTGCATACAGATTTTACAGCAAACTCAGTGTTCATATTGTTTGTCTTAGGTCTGGTTCTACTCAAGTTCCTTTGGAATTTACAAATCACATCCGTTCCTTAATCAGATGACAGCATGAAATAGACTAATTCTATATTGCTAACTGTGATGTTTAAAAATCAGAAATGAAACTCAAAGATATGAAATTGGGGTGTGAGACACAAATAATTTAAATTTGTGTATATTTCAGAGTAGTGTTTTAAATGCCCTGGGGCTGTGGCTATTGAAGCCACAGGCTGCCGTGTCAGAAGCAAAGGGCTACTCCCACACAACAGAGAGCACAAATCACCCCTGCTCTACTTGCACAGGATTTAACCTTTTGTACCTTAAAATAAACTCTGGAAACAGTAAAACCTCAATTCCACTACTATCCTATTTGCTTATGGAAGAGTTCAAAGAATGACTCTGTCCTTCTGAAGTTCTTGAGGTTTCAGCTGGATATTTTCTTTAAGGAGTAAGAGAAATTGTTTATAGAACAGATGTATTCATTTTCTGTACCACTGTTTCTTCAAGTTCTACTTGTTTTTCTGCTGCTAATGTAGAGATATCACCCACATACAAACCACTGTCAAAATATTTTTCTCCAGATATAGCGATGATGAGGAGAGTGAGTGGTTTGAGAAGGCAGAGGAGAATTGTTTAGCTACATCTGCATTTGTAAACTCCTGCACACTGTGGAACTCCTTAGGCAGCTGAAGGGATCAGTGAACTGAGAGAGATCTGGGTAGGAGTAAAGCAAAAAACAAAGACAAGCAAGAAATTCACATCTAAATGGAGATGGTTTGATAGTAGCATAATGAATGTAGCCATCTAATGGAGATTTTATAGCAAGGGAAAAGCTGTTTGTACGAGTGAGAAGATAATTCTGACAGAAAAAAAATGGAGGGAAATTCTTCATGATGAAATGCACATATCCTTTCTGGTCTTAGATACTCTAATGGATTCTAACCCAGATATTCATCTCCTCCAGGGTCATGTGTAATTCTTGTGTCAGTGTGCGTGTACACAAATATGTGTGTTTGTGCATACATACACTTCTGAAAATAAATATACTGGGTTAGAAAGTTACAATTTCTTTCCTTTATTGTCTCATGCTGGCAGATACTTAATGTTTAAAGGTCAAGCTGCTGGAAGATATAATGCTAAAAACGGTAGCAGAAACTGCTGAGATAGCAGAAGTTAGTAAAATAGTTCTCTAAATGCTTCTATTTGTTACCCTGTCTAGCACACAAAAGGTTCAAGAAAATCTCAGAAAGATGAGTGTCCCGGACTGCCAGATGAAGGCAGTTGAGTGTTTGTAGCTCTGCTCTGGATACAGGGGTGCAAGGCAGAGACTGGCAGCAGAACAAAGCTCACAAGCCTGACACACATAAGATGTTCCAGCATCTCTTCACAGCTTTAGGATGCATTTCTTTCCCCCAGCACAATGTCTGTTTCTATCTGGTTCACAGCAGGTGCTCTAAACCCAGTTTAGAAGTGCTCAAATTCACAGAGTCACGCAATGGTTTGGGTTGGAAGGGACCTTAAAGATCATGTAGCACAAACCCCTGCCCCAGGCAGGGACACTGTTCATGAGGCCAGGCTGCTCAGAGCCCCATCCAGCCGGGCCTTGAGCACTGCCAGCGATGGGGCAGCCACAGCAATTGAAATAGGTCACCAAAGTGAACATATTACTGCAAGGCAGTTCTCTTGTAAATGAGATCCTATTCTCCTCTAATCTCTCTAATTCCTTTCTGGGTATAATAGAAAAAAAATCACAACCAACCAACCCTACCTGAAGGCCTATTTCTTTTGTCAATTGTTGTAACTATCCTTGAGATTATTTCTTCCCTCCTTCTTTCATAAAATGACATTATTTAGATAATTAACCTGGAAAAGTCATTGTTCAGAGGACAAGACTCATAGGCTGAGCCCTTGTGGAACTAACATTAAAGCCTTATTTCATAGTCATAATTCATAAAAAATAAATGTTTCAGAACTTTCTAGAATTGATGTAATATATGAATACCCACATAAACACAAAGCTATTGTTTGAATATAACTGATAAAATAATAATCCTGATTGTTATAAAAATACTACATGGAAGACTAACAATACACCTGGGTCTGAATAATAAGAGATGGTCATCTCGTTCAGATTCTGCACTCTTAAAATTATTTAGCATCTCCAGGTTTGGACTTAGGAAACTTAATGACTACTATAAATAAAACTGTGAATTTTTCTTTCTTCCG